TTGAATATTTTTACTTTTGTAAATATCGTCTGCGCATGTGGTTAATTTTAGATAATTTCATTTTCCAGATAGGATTTTTTAGATAAATTCTGCACACGTGGAAGTTCATTGACAAGGGTCATGAAACTTTTTGAGTCTATCTAACCATTTATGTTATTAATTTGAATCTATCCTTATTATTTTATGAGTTATTAAACATCAAAATGGGTCCGAGACTTTATAAACACCCTGTATATTCAGATTCTGATTTTGCTTCAAGCAGAGATGATATAGTGTCCATTGGTGGACAAATTACTTTTTTGGGAGAATCAACTGTATCTTGGTGTACATTTAAAGAAAGGGGAGCGAGTTTGTCTACTATGGAGGCTGAAGTTATTTCCATGACTGAATCAGCAAAAGAATTGGTTTGGTTTAAAAACATTTTGGATGAATGCATTCAGTTTAAAATTGCAAGTAACTATGTTTCAAAACCTGTATTGTTTGCGGATAACATGTCTGCTATAAGTTTTACAAAATTACCCATTGAAAACTCAAGGACGAAACATATAGATGTAAAGCTATTCTTCATTCATGATCAGGAACAGGAAAGTTTTTGATCTAAAATATGTTCCAAGCAAAGATAATCTGGCTGATTCCATGACAAAACCGCTGAATAAACATAACTTGATAAGATTTTGCGCAGCAATTTTCTTATGAAATTTTTCTTTTGTGTGTATTTAACTTTAAATTAAGAGTTTTGTTTAAATGTTTCAATTTTTTTTTACTCTTTTGGACTATACCATTGAAGAAAAAAATAATAATATGTTGTAAGTCATATTATGATGAGTATTAGATAATGTAAAATTGTATAGAATGAATGTTGTGCAACTGACCAGGGCCCTGGGTAAATGTATTGAATGTATGATCATACATATGCCTTTGTATTCTTTTGTAACATGATGGACTTTTGTATTATGTTAAAACTTTGAAAAATAGGATAAGATGTGCACTTCGTCCCTAAAAATTTTGAATTGAGTGGAGTTGTGTATCGTTACATTTACATTTATTTATTCTTGTTTTGAATTTTATAAAAATACTGGCATTCAGTTTTTATTTCGGGTCAGAGGTGATGATGTGGGGGGCATCTGTTGAAAATATGACCTATTGTAACCTTCTTTCTGCATCATCTCTCCTCCTTGAAATAATTCTAACTTTTACATCAGGTTTAGTTTTTATTTTAAAGGGATATAGCAATTACTTCTACTTCTTTTGCACTGCCACTGTTTGTATTAAGAACGGAATGTTCCAGCCTAATTAAGATGCAAAAACGAAACTTGAAGTTAGTGAAAAGCTAAGTCGTGCCGACAGCTGATTGGCTGCTGTGAGATGATGTCATGCCTACTTCATGTATAAGTATCTCGCGTCGCTCTGGCTTAGTCCTTCTTGTTCCTGTTTCATTGCTCCTTGGTGTGTCGCTCATTGGAAGACATTATTGCGATACGTGCCATCCAGCGATAAGTACCGTGGTTCCAGTCCATGATGATTTTTCCTGGATTCTGCAAAGCGGCTATGATGTGAACAACTGCCGCGGGCGGCATCCTGTTTCTACGGTTTGGCGGAGATAGATCTCAAGATGTGGTTCCTGGTGGTCAACTGCTGTGGGTGGCAACCTGTTCTATGGTTCGGCGGCGATAAATTCCAAGCTGTGATCTCTCGTGAGCAACTACAGTGAGTGGCTTTTGCCAGTTCAAGTGCACTAAGATTTAGTTTAATTTTTCAGGTGCCTTCTTGGCCAAAAAGGATGTACCTATTTATAATGCAGTGAAATTCATATTAACCGCATAGCTTTTGTTCTGTGATATGTTTTTTGCGTATTGAATACCAGTATTTAAAGATCAGGTTATATATTTGCTGTATCATTAATAGTGTAATATTCTTTAAAGGAAAAACCCTTGGGGTTAATGAATAGTCAACATCGCTCTGGCTTAATCTTTCTTGTTTTCATTGCTCCTGGTTATTTCATTGCTCCTGGAAGATGTTATTATGATGCATGTTGTTCATCGATAAGTACCGTGGTTCCGGGCCATGTTGGCTTTTCCAAGGTTAAGTGACGTCAAATCTCAAGTTTTGGTTTCCGGTGAGCAACTGCAGTGGGCGGCATCCTGTTCCATGGATAAACGCCATCAAATCTCAAGTTGTGGTTTCCAGTGAGCAACCGCTGAAGGCGACATTATTAGTACAAGTATTTTTCAGGTCTAGCGGCAATGTTTTTACTAAGCTGTGACTTCCCACGAGCAACTACAGTCAGCAGCATTTACCAATTAAAGTATATTCAATGTTTAATTTTTCAGGTGCCTTCTAGGCCAAAAGCACAGACCTTTTTAGTCAAGTGAAATTCAAATTAATCGCGTAGTTTTGTTCTATGTTTTTCGCGAGTAATTGAATGCCAGTATCCATAAAACAGGTAATATATTTACTGTTTCATTAATAGTTAATATTTTTTAAAGGAAAACCCCTTGGAGTTAATGAATAGTTAACTGAGTTTTTTTTTTTTTTTTTTTTTTTTTTGGACAATGCTTATGTTACACCCTTTAAGTTTCTAGTATTGATCAATTTTATTTATTGTATTTTTTTTCTATATATATTGTTCATAAATTGGTTTAAAACTTTTGTCATCTATGTCTGCACAGTACATAATCTTAGCGAGCTTCTATTGCCATTTCTGCTAAATGTCTTCTATAACTTTGCTTTTGTATCAACAATAACAGGAATTTGAATATGTATATATATATGGAGAAAAGAGTCAAACAGAATTTTTTTTGAAGTCCAGTTGAAAAAGCAGATAGACAATCAGCAAAAGTTCTGAAGGAATATGAGAAATATGTAAATATGACAAAAATTTTTAAAGTATAGGGTAGCACCCGGGTGTGGGAGATTTTGAATCGCATAGTATACAGTCACTGCTAAATATAGTAACATAATAATGTGGCATATGCAAGGCCATTTCAGCTGTGGTTTGGTTTATTTAACCCTCTGAGCGGTACAGAATTTTAGATCCATCATGAAGACCAGTATTTAAACAGCATTTATTAATTGAGTTTGTATAATTACTTACTTTAGTCTGTATTTTCATAAACTTACATTCATTAAGATTATATTGCATTATTAAAGAAAGTAAGAAAGCAAAAATTCCTAAATTAGAAGCTAATACATGCCAAGTAGCAAAACTTCTAATGACCGGATAAAGACGGTCATAACGCTCAGAGGGTTAATCATGGCAAAGCCTCGAGGGCTATCTGCCTAAGGGGAGAGATATATTCATGGAGGATTTTCTCAGGGAACCTGGCTTGTATACATGTTAAAACCAAGAAATTAATTGGGCAGGCTAAGATTCGAACCTTAGACTTAATTACCAGTGTTCAGCGACCTTACCACTCGGCCACTCGTGGGGCTGTCCATTTCAGTTGTGAAGAAATGGGCGGGAACATCTGAAGCCATGAGGTCAATATTAAACTTGAAACATGCAAGACAAATAAAAACAATGCGAACTTCAGAGATTATCCATGCAGTAAACACAGCAATCGAGCAAAGTCTGCAATGTTCTACACGATGATATGACAAGTAATTAGGATTAACATCTCAAAATTTAAGTAGAATATTGCATGAAGTCTTAAAACTACATATAAGCTCCAGCTAATCCACCCATTGCAGGATAGCGATCTCAATTAGCAAACCTTTGCTGAAACTTTTTAGCCAAATGTAATGAATATCCAAAATTTCTTGAAACTTGTGGATGTCTCAATACTGTGATAGATGATGAACTCAAAGCTGTAATATGCGAAGAGATTCAATCTGTTACTGTTGACATACTGAAGAAAATTATGAGACACGCCCATTCACGTATTCAGGAATGTTACCTCAGAAAGAATCAGCATTTAGAGGACATTATTTCAAAAAGTTAATTGTTTTTGTTTTTATATAAATGACATACCTGTACCTATACGCAGAATTACATATGAATATACATACATTACTGGACATTATGACGTTTTTAAAATCTCCCAATCCCATGTGCAAAACTGTACAAAAATGAGATGAATTTAATGTAGTTTTAAGTGTAAGGAATTCAATTTTTAATCTATGATATTTGTACTATATATGATGATAATTCCTCAAGCTACAATGAATTTTTCTAATAAACTAAAGAACATTATGACCACAGTTGCTCTAATATATGCTAATTTGGTATCCATGGTTTATCGGTTCATTTGTATTCACAGTTTATAGCGCGACCAAACAGAAGAGGGGGGGAAAAAAAGCTTTTCAAAAGTTCTAAATGTGGGGAAAATGGCAAGAGGTGGTAACATAGTGAAACATAGCAATTCAGATGCATGAAATACTGTTGGCTTCCCAGAAATACATTATTACCCCTCAGATTTGCACTTTTTTTTTACCCCACTGTGCTTAACAATTACAAATATACTGACAGGAATGCAACCATCAACAGTCAAAGAATATTTGAGCTACTGTTATATGCGTTCATGACCACATTTCTATTAAATTTATATCCTTCAAGAGTATTCCCAATTCCCCTCAATGCTGTGATAGCCATATCACTTTTCCCCCAGCTTTGCTGAAAGAATGATTTCTATTTTCAGTATACTCTTTTATTGTTTTATGATTAAGTTAAAATGCTGAAATTGCTTATTTTCATGCATAAAAGAAAGAGATTATCAATTACATTTCATAACTTAACAGCATAGTATATAATATAGTGTAATACTTTATTATTACTTTAACTAATGTTGGTAATGTCTTACAATGCCTAACTTATCAACTGAATTTTTTATATATATGCTTAACAAATATCCTACTTCTGTAGCATTCTCTGTCAATCAGCAATTTCACATACATACAATAAATACTGAAACATGAACTGCATCATGAATATGGAGCACTACTGTATGTAAATCTTCAAAATAAATAAATAAATTTTCAGAACTATGAAATTATATACATACCTGAAGGTGACTAAGATCTGTTAGAGACCCTCCTCCCTGAAGAGATGTCAGTTGATTATTTTGAAGGAGAAGTGTCTAAAAAATTAAAAATATTACTTTGCATTAAAAAAATGAATATAAAAATATCTATTTTTTATTCATTACTGGTGGAAATATTAATTAGTTTTTATATTTTCTGATTACATTTTGTAAATCTGGCATAAAAACTCTGGCTTTTGTTCACTATTCTCCTAATTCTGAATGCCGTATGAGATAGCTTGCAATTTTAGTATTCGGTTATGATTTAGCAAAAATTGTCAAGTGGTCACTGTGGAATTGACAGTTCCTATCATACAATTTAAGATGCTAGATTTTCAATTTTTTCATCCTTAAAACTCCACATCAACATTAAAAAAACTCACACATTATAAAGAAAAGTTTTATTAGGAAGAGGCATGCACACTTTGAATATATCATCAAACATAAAATGAAAGTTCATATTACTTAATTCCAAAAATTTTTCACACTTTTGATTTTCTTATACTAAAAATTTCAGTTGTCAATTTATCCAGTTCCCTTCTCAACCATCCTTCAATAAAAACTTCACTTTCTTAATACAGTGTAATGTATTTTGCAGTAATTGACAAAATAGATAATCTTCTTAGTAAAACATAAATTTTATTTTTAGTTCATGGAGATAGATATACAATTCTTAAGTGGCAAAATTTCCATACATCTAATCTACTAGCTAGTCAAACTTCAGAATCCTCATCTTAAAACAATTTCCTCTGATGCTGAGCAACAGTTGCATCATACAAATATGGTGTTGCCACTTCAATAATTAATAAAGTTATTTGTTAAATAACAAAATATTACAACCTCTTCCCCTCCAAATAAACTTTAATTTATATTTTTATAAATTAAAGTTTACAATATTTCAAAACAACAATATCAGCACAATACAGAATTAAAATATAACAAATAACATAACAACATACACTGAGGAATAGAGGAAAGAACAAACTATTTTTTTTATCTATATAGAGAAACAAATTATTTAATCAGGCCAGGAAGTACGACTTAATGTGTCTACATTTTTATGGTTTTTACCACTCGATGAATGACCGTGTAATTGTAGGATTATAGTACTAGTGCCCATCTCATAAGTCACGGATTTAGACTCACATTATTTTTGAGCCAAACTAGAGGATTATGATCGGTCATGATGAGGAATTTAGTATGCCTGTCTAAATAACATTGAAGTTTCTTTACAGCAAATATTAGGGCAGCGCATTCCTTTTCTGTGACAGATTACATTTTTTCAGTTTCTGTAAACTTCTTACTGAGGTATAATCCTGGATGTTCCTTGTTTCGTTCAACCTTTTTTTTTGAGATAATACTGAATGACATTGTCCCATACTTTCAGAGTAAAATGAAACCCATCAATTTGAAGCCTCAGTTTGCAAAATAAACTCCTTATTGAAATCAGGCGAGTGTGACAGAGGCTTTTGTGGCAGTTTTGCTTCTTCAACAACTTGCTCTTGTCTGTTTAGTTTCTTTAAAAACTTCTCCTTGACTTGCATATCAACTCCAGAACTTGGCAATTCATCTAGAGCTTTTAACTGAGAATCGTTTAATTTTGTCAGTTCTTTCTTGCCAGATAGTTTTTGCTCTTTGCGAGATGAACCTTTGTTCTTATCTGCTACTTGCACTCTCACTGAATGTGGCAACTTTGAGTATCTTTATCATGTTTGTTACTCTTTGCTAAGTTTTCTGACGCGTGCATAGATTCTGAATGTATTTTTAATTTCTTAGCTTTAGAAGCACCTTCACGAGTTCTTTTATCAGCAGTTCTTTGATCTGCTGTAAACAAACTATCAAACACATCTTTGGTTTTTGGAGAATAAGAAACTGGGGAACTTGTAGGGGAATAATCACTCACACTATCCATAGAAGATGAATCACCAAGCAAATAAAGTGAGTCAAATTCCATATTAATAACTTCAGTTTTTTCATCAGTAGATGAATTCTTAGATTGTTTGATTTCTGTGAAGCATTGACAGAGGCCTGACTTTTAGGAGGGAGAGTACTGACCAAATTACCCTGAGTTTTAGCACTATTATTTGTTTGGTTCTGCATCAAAGTTGTGTAGTTCTGCATTTGATTCCTATATTTTTCAAGAATAACAATTAATTCCCTTTCATTTCCATTTTTATCTAATTTCTTTTTCATCAACAGCCCGTTCTCCTTTACTTTGAAATCATTTCTGAAATTTTCACTTTTAGCTTTGCTAAGCAATGAGGCTAGATCTCTGCTTTGATGCTGAGATTCAATTAATTCCTTTGAATTGTTTATCTTTGAACTTGTTTATCTTTGAACAACTGAGCAGTTTTGTTACCCAATACATATCTGCCAGTATCATTTGTAACAACAGCTGCCTTTATCTTTATATGACCAAGTTCACAATTAATTTCAACTTCAGCTAACCGTAGACATACTAAATGGTCACTTAAAAAATATTGTACCCAGACATGTTCTAGAGTCATTTTTGCGTTATCTACGTATTTTCGAGAAATAACATCTACTGTGGCTCCTGTGTCTCGAAGAATACGCATTTCATACCCATTAACTAAACCATTAATTGTAACGTCTTTAACAAATCATCATTTGAAAATACACAATTTACCTTTTCATTTGGTTTTAAAAGCAAGGGCACTGAGGCTTAAAGTGTCCGTATGACCCAGACTCAAAACAACGTGGTCGATATCTTTTGTCATATAAATTTTCTTGGTTTTTGTTTTGGAACTGATTCCTTTGTCGATGATCTTTATGGTATTTTAAATCATCCCATTTATCAGAATGCTTAAAATGAGGCGGATGCTCTATTTTTTTCACAAAATTACCACAACAAGGTTTAAATGATCCTTTGTTAATTTTCTCAGTCTGATTGGCAGAAAATTTTGGTTTTATTGTTTTTCTCACATCTTTAAAATCTTCAATTTTCTTAACCATTTTAGTTGGTGAAATGATGGTTGTCCATTGATCCATAAAATGTTCTTTGAAATCAGAAGTACACTTTTTAATTTGATCAACCAGCATGAGATCTTTAAGCTGTTCAAAAGTTTTAATGTTTAATCCGTTAAGCCATCCTTCAAAATAATTCTTTAATTCATAGTAGAAATCATATTAAGTACTTTCAGTAGATTTTTGGTGTTTATTAAATAATTGTCGAAATTTTTCCGCACTCAATTTAAATTGTTGTAACAGTAAAGATTTTACATATTCATACTTTGTCGCGTCCTCTTCTGGTTCTCTAGCAAAAAGCTGAACAATATCAGGAGGCAGCAATGAAATAAGTTGAGTCACTTGATTTTCAGCAGGTATATTCCTAATTAGCTTGATGCTCAAATAACACCAGAAATAAACTTATTTCATCTTCTTTACGGATGAAAGGTGGCATGACATCGTGAATTCTGATTTTTAAGGGCTGCTCAAATAGCTGCATAGTTTCTACCGTCTGTGCTATTGCAGCCATTGCTTCCAACTGAAGTTTATGTAGCTCAAAAACTCTAATTTGCCCTTCTCTTTCGCATTCTTTTCCCCTTTCTTCTCTTTCATGTTCTCTTTCTTCTCTTTCATGTTCGCATTCTCTTTGCGTTCTTCCCTTCTTTCTCTTTCTTCTCTTTCGCGTTCTTTTTCTCTTTCTTCTTTTTCACGTTCCCTTTCCCTTTCTTCTCTTTCACATTCTTCCTTTTTTTCTCCTTCTTCTCTAAATGCAGCCAGTAGTTCTTGAGTAAACTCCTCATCATAACCGGGACTTTCAGTAATCAATTTATGCAACTGAGCAATCTTAAATTCAGGTTTCACGGTTAAACCTAACTCTTCTGCCAGTACTTTTAAATCCTGTTTTTTTCCTCCTAGCTAAGAATGACATGTTGAACAAGTTACCTGTAATAGGCTTTCTTTTAAAATTGAATCTAAAAGATCGGACTTGTATTAAAAATGTATAATTTAAGCAAGGCTTAACTTGTCAAATGTGAAATTCATTCTAACCAATTGGAAAGAATTATTTAAACAACTAGCAGCTTCACTGCCAGCCTTTGTCTGGCTTTTAAATGTAAAGGAAAAATGGCTGAAGGGACCACCAAAAGTTAAATTTAAAAACTGCATAGAATTTTACTCTGCAGAACATCTTCATAAAAAAAAGTTATTATGTATAACAAAATTACAATGAAATAAGCAATATCCCTTATAATAAATATTAAATATCCTAATAAATAAATTAACCATAATAAATAGTTCATATTGAAATCATTTTTAAAACAAATGCAAAATTAAACAGCCGTAATTTAACAATTAATTTAACACCCATAAATAATGTTTAAAACATTAGATTAAATTTATAGATATTAATAAAACCAATTACGTTTTAAGTAAGGTGACGTCATTGATTACATCATTCACAACATAAAATTATATAAAATATTGTAAACAACAAAATTTTTATTTCAAATAAAAATGCAAAATTAAGTTGATTTTTAATACTTAGAAGCGATAAATAATATTTAAAACACGGAATTTATGCATAATAAAACGCATTATTTTTTAAATAAAATGACGACAAAGTATCGGTTACCATAAATAACTTATCCAGCAATGGGTTTCCCATAAGTCGTATTACTTGCCAAAGAAAAATTGCCAAAATCCTTGCAACCGTCTACCAAAGTAGCACCAAAAATTACAATGAAATAAGCTATATCCCTTAAAACAAATATTAATTATCCTAATAAAAAAATTAACCAACTTTCCATTGAAGAAAAAAATCATGCAAAACTTTTCAATATCTTACAAACAGTGAAATAAGCAAAAAATAACATGAAAGAAACTCAAAAAACAAAAAATTCAGTGCAGAATTTTACTCTGCAGAACAACTTTATAAAAAACATCAATAAAAATGTATTATATATATAAAAAAATGGCAATGAAATATGCCAATCTCTTAAAAACAGTGACATAAGAAATACGATGAAAAATTGTTGCCAAATCCATATTTCTAAAAGAATGAAACTATTACAAAATGATGCGATTTCATCAAAAATCTATCAACAACAATAAGAAAGGAAAATTGTTGCCAAAATCATATTTGTAAAGATGTGAGAAGTGTACTCGGAAGCTTCATTTAAAAAAATTTTTAAAAATACAAAATATTATCATTTTTCCAAAATTCTTTTTGTATAAGCAGTCGCAAGGATGAAAGTTTAACGTGTCTAAAAATAAAAGAAAAATAAACTGTACATTTTTAAACATAAACTTTTTTAGAAAGAATCCAGTTGAAAAGGTGCTAAGCTCACTTTGCTAAATAAATTCGTATTTAATCTATTTATTGAAACACGAAATTTATTTTAAGTTTGTAAAATAGCTAAGTGCCTACATTTCATGACGATGTGAAAATGGAGTGCATAGAGTAAAATCTCGCTTTCATATAGCCCGTTATGTCTCAAAATGACTCGATTTCGTCTCAAAACATAAAATTAAAAAAATTTTAAATCAAATTTCGAAAAAATCGCTTCAAGGTGCACTGGCTCTTGTCTAGATGCACCTCTGTACCAAATTTCATAGCCGCGAGTCTATTAGCTTATGCGCTACGCAAACGAAAGACACACACAGACAAACTCTTTGTTTTATTATATGTAGAGACTTTGCCAGGTTGGCACAAAATAATATAATACTACGTCGGGTTGACGTTTTATCTCACTATTCACAAGCCTTGTTAGCTATAACTATATAAACACCTTTGCCAGTTAGGCAATAAAATGGAATTTTACCCTTGTCAGTTTGACGATTTTACTATCTATCTCCATGTCTGGCTGGCAGTAACAAAAGCAATTTTTGCCAGTTTGGCAGTACACTTTTTACAGTATACAATCTGTAATACGCCGGGATGACATTACTACCTACCACACGCCTGCATGGCGAGAACTACAACTTTTTCCAATTCTGCAGTATAATCAAATCACAAATTTTTTTTTTTTTTTTTTTTTTTTTTTTTTTTTTTTTTTTTAAAAATTTTATTTTTAGTTTACGGAGATAGATAATTTATATAAAATTCTTAAGTGGCAAAATTTTCATACATCTACTAGCTAGTCAAACTTCAGAATCCTCATCTTAAAACAATTTCCTCTGTTGTTGAGCAACAGTTGCATCATACAAATACGGCGTTACCACTTCAATAATTAATAAAGCTATTTGTTAAATAACAAGATATTACAACAGTAGTGATATATTGATGAGAAAATACTTGCCGTATTTAAAGACTGAAGTATACTTTTAATTTAACCTGGAATATGCTCCAGGCCTGGAGTATGCTTTTAACTGACAAAGTATGTGAACCAAAATGTATGCTGTTCGATGCAAGCTGATAGAAAAAATACAAGCTTCCAACTTCATCAATAGATAGTCCAACTCCCACACACACACACACACACACACACACACACACACACCACAAAAAAAAAAAAAAAAAAAACTGAAAATAACAGGGGCTGGCTGTGTCAAAATATAGCCACTAGTTTTTAGAATGACAAAACCTAGAGATGACAACCTGTCAGTAGAACTATCAACAATGCTAACTGAATTATAATTGCGATATTCAAGTATTCTTCAGACTGTGATTAGAATAACAACGTATCCACGCATAAGAAACAAAAGATTAAAAATGTCCCTGACCTGATAAAATCAAACTTGTTGTACATTTTGCTGTAGCCAAATGTGCATGGCTGTTACTCTAACAGTTCAATTAATAAATGATTTCTGCGTGAATTACATTCAGTGTCTGACTGGATGAAATGGATCTAAACCGAGTTCTGATTCTTCCACAGAATGTTAAAAGTCCCTATAATTCCTGCATTTAATAAGAAAATCTAGAAACAGTCTACATATAGAAATGCATTTAGAAATATTCTGCACTTATAAGAAAATGGCTGGTAGTTTTTATTGAAAAATAACACTGTCTCTGATTTTATCTTCATAGCCCATTATAGTCTTGTTATTTATTAGATTTCACATACTGCTTACAGTTGTTACCACTGCCACAAGCAACTGAAAAGTCACACCTGCACACAGAATATGATTTTCTGAAAATTTTGAAACAAGTAAACATGGCTATTCTTCAATATAACTGTCTGTATCTTTGAAAAACTTCTTGTTTCTTTAAAAGTGACATGATATATATATTTATCATAACAGTTTTTAATAAAAACAAAAATTACATATATGTTTTATGCTTTCAACAAGTAAGGTACTAATGCCTGGCACAGCTCACAAAGCATGTGCATATGACACCAGCACTGTAAAAGCATCAATAATATAATAGACACAAATATAAACATAAGCATCTAATATAATAGACACATCATGACTCAGCACAGTCATGTGCTTTCATCATTTACTCGAAATTTATTATTTACTTGATTCACTCATACAGAAAAGTCATGCAATTATGGCATCTACAATTCTGTAACAGCGGATATAAATCAGTAATAATTATGGAAAATCTGTAAAAGTTGGCATCCTTATAGATATTTTAAGCATTACAAGAAATGAATCATTTATGATCACATTCGATGATTAACACACTTTATTTACAAAACCATCTATCATTTGCTACTTTATATCAGTTTACTGAATACACGTCTTTGATATGTAAAATATGATACATATGGTAAAGGTCTGATCATTTCTGGGTAATGTTAGATTTATGCATGTATTGCCCAAAATTATATTTGCAAAACTGACTGATCATCAAAAACTCAGATTCAGGGAAGATCTTAGTAGAAACATGCTTCACGTAAAGTACAGTCACCAGATTTATCACCTTCCACTGACAGCGATGCCGTGTATGCTCAAATTGACTTTAATTTTATAATAGTTGTGAACAGCTTGCTTGCCTAATGATATGCTAATCAAATGTTCACAACATAATTTAAAATATCTAACATAAGTATATATTCTTATTTTAATGTAAAAAAAAAAAAGAATGGCAAAAAAAATTGTAAGTAAAAATGAAAATTTGCTTTTAATTGGAGGTGAGAAAATTTTTCTACACAATTTATTTTTATTTTTCTACACAATTTATAAAAGTTTAAACTATCCATTCATTTTATGTTTCATAAATGACTTTAACAGTTAGTATTAAAGTTAATTACGTGCAATGAGGTAAAAGAATCTGTCAGATGTCAAGGAATTAGTTTGCACTCTTGAAATGTATTTAGTATAACAGAAATTTTAGTTACGTAATAACTGAGTATTTGTGCTGACTGTTGCCTTATGCAGCTTTCATCAAACTGCAATAATTATGGAAAACATAAGAACATTGTAGAACAAAAAGCCAGCTAAAATAAATATAATTAATAGGGTTGAAAAAACTATTAATCAGTTATTTTCTAGCAAAATATTTATTTTCAAGTATTAATAGAATAGTATAGAAATAATTTCAATATTTTTAAAACTATTTCTATTTAATTTGCCTTTCATTCCTCTCCCTCCCTCCCCACACACATACTTTAAATTAACTTTTCAAGACTTTTGATGGTTTAAAAAGCTTCACTAGTTCCTACAAGTATAAATTAATATCAGCCTATTATAATTATTAAAATGTATGTACATTATATAGATAATTGTAACTCTTTAATGAAGATATATTAAAAAATCTTAAATTACAGATAAACTTACCTCTTTCAGAAAGACACGACACATAGAAAACACACCTGAAGGCACCTAAAATTACACAATTAAATAAGTTTCTGTATTTTTAGAATAGAAGTGATATATTATAGAATAACATGTAAATAAACTTACATCACTCAAATTGCAGTCAGCAAGATCAAATACAGGCTCAGGGGTTTCTTTAGCCTAAAAATATTTTATTCAAATATTATAGTTTATATGAATTATGAGACAAAATACTTACTTATAAAAGGCCAAAACATTTTGATAAGATATATGTGTAAATCTAAATAAATATTTCTTTCCCATCTTTTTAACAGCATTATATAAATGAATACTTTAAATAATTTTAAGAACATTTACAGTTGTAAGGTATTTGTTTAAATTAGTATTAGAGGGTTGTTTTGGATAAGGTCATAGAAGAGTCCTTTATAGTGTAACAATTATTTATTAAAAGGTTTAAGTTGCGCACAGACATTACATTTAACTTTAAGAAAATTATACAGCAAGAGTCTGATACAACCTACCAGGTTAAATACTTGGCTTTTACTGAAGTTCTTCTCTGGTTAATCACCAAAGGGCACCCTTGTTGTTACAGTTAGTTCAACAGTTTACATTTGCAGCAGAGATTATATTAAAGGATTGGTTACAACCTTCCCCTCTGGCTTCGCCGATATCCCGGCAAGGAGATAGAACTGGAAGATTTGGGAGCTATTGTAATAGTATGTCTTGTCTAAGTTATTTTGGTTTCTTGGGCAAAGAGACCTCTCTTTGAAGCACTGTCCGGAAACACAAGTTCTTGATTATTTCGAGAATGCAAAGTAACTTATGGCGGTCTAATTCTCTTTCTGAGCGGAAGGAATGGAAGAAGTGGATGAGTCTTTGAAAGATGTTAATGCACTCATGCTGTCCGTTACATCCCCCTCCCCTCTGGCTCCGATGTCGTCCCGAGGAGGAACCAGCAGTACGTTTCCCGGGACGTCCTCTTCTGCAAAGAGGTTGAAGAGGTGATGAACTCGAGTCAAAGCAAGGTCCTACGGCCAAAGAATGATACACACCTAATGGAGTATGTGGCTCACTTAAGTTTGAAACCTCATAGGTAGTCGGTGAACAGAGTCATAATAATGTAAGGGCCGTCTCGATGAGGCATAAACTCAGATGTTTTCTGTTTGGTGGATTTACTCACAGGATGCTTGGAAATCCAAACCCAATCTCCAGGTTTAAATTGGTATCCAGGTCTTCGACTTGCGCCAGCATATTCTTTTTGGTAGTCCTGTTTTTTTTTCAACTAGTTCTTTTACCTGGTTAACTGTGGTGGCAAATCTCTTCAAATATGGGGTAATTCCTGCTACAAAATTATCATTGGAGATAATATACCTAAGATCATGTGTAACATCATCTGGTGTATATAACTTTCTACCAAATTGAAGGAATGCAGCAGTTTGGCCGGTGGTTTCCCATTTATGAGTATTCACTGCGAAACTAATTGCCAGAAGTTTTTCTGCTCAAGAAGAATGCTTGTCGCCCACAAGTATGGCTAATCTAGGTTTCAAATCCCTGTTCTTTCTCTCGACTGGATTTGCTTGTGCGTGATACACTGGCATAAACACTTGGTTAATATTAATAAGAAAGCACACTTGCTGCATGATAGCATTAACGAACTGAGTTCCATTATCTCTAATTAGTTTAACAGGCAATTCATATCATAAGAAAACTTCTTCAATTAATATAATGACACATTCCTTTGCAGTAGCAGAGGGTAAAGCGATAAGCTCCACCCAATTCATGTTGCAATATTCAACAATCAAAATCCACTTTTTTAATTGTTACTTTTAGGTAGTGGAACAAATCGATGGTAAGTGTTTCGAAGCGTTGACCATATATTGGTGTCTGTAAAAAATCAGATGGCTTTTGATTTGAAGGTTTATAACGGTTACACTTGTCACAGCTTTTTATGTAATCTGCAATGTATTTGCACATTACTGTGAAATAATACCTCTGGGAAATTCTGTGGCATGTTCCCTCAGCACCATAATATCCTGCTGTAGGAGCATCATGATATTGTTGAAGAATTCTTTCTCATTGATGTATTTAGTACTACAAGCTGAGCTTTCTCTGATTCAGACTCTGGGGAATAGTGATATAACATTCCTTGATTTATTCTATAACCTCGTTTGGTCCAATTAGAAAAATTTCATCTTTGACTTCACTTTCGAAAGAATCTATGATTTTTTTAGAATCTGTATCCTTCAGCTGTTCTCTATGAATTCTGCTGCACTTCTGGTTGGCATGTTATGGCAATGGTTATTGTACAGTCTTCACATGATTCTTCTTCATGGTTGCACACAGGACATGACAACATATCAGCTACAAAATTAGCTCTTCCAGGAATGTATTCCATCTTCAAATTATAAGACTGCAATTGCATTACCCGCCTTGAAGTCTACCCATAGGTGATTTTAAGCTTAAAATCCACTTCAACGGTTGGTGATCTGATGCCACAGTAATCTTTTGACCATCAATGTAGCCAGGAAATTTGTTCAAGGCCCATACAACCGCAAGGGCTTCTCTTTCTGTTGTAGAGTAATTTCTTTTGGTGGCAGACAACAAGCAACTAGCATATTCTATTGGATGTTCCTCTGAACCTTTTCCTTGTAATAGCACAGCATTCAAAGCATAATTACTAGCTTCGGTCTGAATAATGTAAGGCTTTGTTGCATCATTTTGCTTTAAGATGGGAGGGCTAACAAAAAGTCTTTTTAATGTCTGGAAAGAATTTTATTTCTCTGGTCCCCATGTCCAGCTTACATTCTTCTTAGTTAGATTGCTTAGAAGGCTAACTATTTCTGAAAATTTCAGTATGAATCTTCTATACCAGGAACAGGTCTGCAAGACTGCACTTGTTTCACGTTTTTTTGGAGCAGGCATCTTCTATATAGCAGACGTTTTTTCTGGATCAACTTCTACTCCTTCACTAGTAATCCAGTGACCAAGATATTTCACTTTACTGCAAGCAAAATTGCAGAAAGTTTAAATTGCAACAATCTCTCAAAAACCGCTTCTAGATCAGCTATATGTTTTTCAAAAGTCTCCAAGTTTTTCACAGTATCATAATATCGTATAAGTACGAGAGAACAAGCATATCCTTTAAGCTACTTTGGAATTTATCAATTATTCTCTGAAAAGTGACTAGAGCAGTCTTCAGTCCGAAAGGCATTGGAACAAACCGGAAAGTTCCAAAAGAACAAACAAATATTGTTTTGTCTCTGTTTGTAGGACAAACGCTAACTTGATGATACCCAGACCGTAGATCAATGGTTCTCATATATGGTGTATGTTCAGCAGCATGCAGTAAGTCATCCATCCTAGGTAATGGATATGAGTTCGTCATAGTAACAGCATTCAGTCCTCGGTAATCAACGCAAAGTCAGATTTTTGCACACTGGCACAGCATATGGAGACTCACATTCTTCTATTATTTTCTTCTCCAACAGATTGTCAAACTCCTTCTTTAAAATCTCCTTCTTGGGTGGAGACATCCGGGATGGAGGTACAGAAACTAGAGGATTATTCTCGGTATTTATGTGGCGTTCAATATAAGGAGTTGCTTCTCCCCCTGTTTGGAACACAGTTTCATATTTCGTTAGTACAGCATTGAGTTTTTCCCTTTCTTTTCCAGTTAGATGTCTTCCTTCATTTTCTCTTTATTGCATTGTGTTGAATTCCGCATTACTTTCTGGATGCTCGGATGGTTTGAAAATGTTGTCACAAAATCACAAAAGCTAAATTTCTTTTTAGGATTATTATGGAAATACCATCTATTATTTGGAAGGTCTAAAACAATTACCGCACTACGTAAAAATTCAGTTCCTAAAAGCATTCTGTTATCTAGTGCTGTAGGTAATGCAAATAAAGTTATAGGGAAAGATCGTCCTTCAATTTCAATATCTTCTTGTGTTGTATACACTTCTGTTTCCTTCTGAAGACCATCGGCGAAGGTAACATTCATACTGGTTTTCCTAAATTCTATTCCTCTTTCTCTCAAAAGACAATATAACGTTTCTCCCACTATAGTGTGGCTGGCTCCAGTATCAGCACAAACAATTCTCGTAAATCCGTTGATTTTTATTCTTAAAAGAGTCGCGTGAAGCATCTCTACAGACAATGTATGTACGTTTATAGCTTTGGAGTCAGCTGATTCTTTACTTAAAGGAGGAGAGCAGGTTGGACACTTTGCCCTAACAATGCCTGATTTTCCACAACCATAACAACTAACAGTTGGTCAATCTTCTCTCATGCCCTGTCACTGAGTTTTTAACAATTTGGGGGTTATTTTTATAATTTTTAGGACCACTATGTTGAGACGTTTTGGAGTGTCATTATTGACGGTTCTACATCTGATGTTTTTAGCTCCTCCATATAAATCTAATTTATCAGCCAGTTGAAGAGGATCAGTCCACTCGGACCAATGATCCACAAAATGTTCTCTATACTCAAAAAGGGACTGTCTTTTAATTTGGTCCTATATCATCAAATCCTTTAACTTCTCAAAAGTATTGACTTTTAATTCGCCAATCCAGCCATCAAAGAAATTTCTCAAATCAAAGTAAAAATTTCGCCATGTATTATCAGAACTTTTGCGATGTTGTGAAAATAACTGTTGAAACTTTTTAGCACTTAATTTAAAATGCTTTAAGAAAATTTGTTTGATGTCATAATCTTGTGCATCACTAGCAGATTCCTTTGCAACTTCATTATGTAACAAACCTGAGATACACTACCCATTTCCCTTGAGGTATGTTCAAAATTGTTAATTGCCTTTTAAATAAAGTGAAAAAAAGGCTCATGCCATCACTTTTTGGATTAAAGTGAGGAATTAAAGTTTGTAATTGTAACTTAGGATATCCGTGTCGGTGAGTTCCAAAGCAGGTATGGGATCATGAGTAGCACCTGAACTAGCTATTTGTATTTTCAATTTCACAAGCTCGTGCTTGCGTTCTTCTTTCTCTTTCCTTTCATTATACTTGCGTTCTTCACACTCTTTTCTTCTTTATATTCGTGTTCCTCATGCTCTTTTCTTTCATTAATTTCCTGTTCCGCTATTTCTTTTCGTTCCACAATAATGTTAAAAAATAGATCTTTTGTAAACTCTTATTTATATTCCTTACTCATTAAAATGGCATCCT